ACATTTTTTTTTTTTTTTTACTGTGTTTTGTTTTAATAAGAGAAGGGTTTCACTGTGTTTCCCAGGCTCACCTCAGACTCATGATATTCTGCCCCAGTCTTTTGGGTGGCTGGGACTAGAGGCTCTTCTCTTCCCTCCCCTCCCCTTTTGGCACGTTCTAGGCAAGTGCTCCGCCACTGAGAATATATTCCCAGCCCTTTCTTTTATTTTTTAATTTATTATTATTTTTTGGTACCGGGGTTCAAACTCGGGTCCTTGTGCTTGTGAGGCAGGCAGCAGTACCACTGGATTAAATCCCCGGCCCTGTTTTAAAGACAGTTTCACCAAGTTGCCCTAGCCAGCCTTGAATTTGTGGGTCATCCTGCCTCAGCTTCACAGGTGTGTCACCAAGCCAACTAGGGTTCTCCTTAAAGACCGTTTCTGTGAAACCTCTGGCCTTTCAGTCAGAAAAGTCATCTTTTCTTTTCCTTTCCCCTATCCTGATCTCTGTCTACCTATATAGTTTTTCATTCTATTCAGAGAGTTCTTATAAGAGTTGTTAATAGATACTAACTATATTACTATTTCTTTGCTGGACTAAGCTTTTAAATGTACTTTGTACAGGTTTTCAGGTACTTGTGACTACCAGCAGGTGCTTACCAGCTCACTGCAGATGGTAGTTATTTATGGACACATATTTCCTTTGTATTCGGTGATCTCTTTCAGGACAGGGCCAACATCTCATACATCTGTCCCTTAGTTCATTGCCTTTTGTGTCTGTGGTGACTCTGGTATACTTAATAGTTTAACATTTCCTTGTCGTCTTTTTCATTTTGAATTCCCAGTTAGCTTGAATGTAGCACATGCCATAAGAAATCCCTGTGCAGTATACATGACAGTGCAGTCTGCCTTCCCAATATCCCAAGAAGAGTAAACCGCATCCCTGTTTCCTTACACAGAATCGCAGAGGTGCCGTGAGTGAGCTGGAACACATTCCTGACGCAGTTTTATGTGATGTGCATTCTCACGATGGCGTGGTCATTGCTGGGTAAGCAAAACCATTTCACCTTAAGGTCTTCATCTCACGGTCTTTCCATTTTTCATGGACTGCACTCCCTTCCCTTGAGCATGTACCTTCCTCCAGGAGAGCCTGTGTAGGATGGAAAACCTCCACATTTCCCTCTTTTAGGGTTTGAGGGCTCAGCAGGGCAGTGAGTGGTAAGAAGCAAATGGTACCGAGCAGATCTGTAATCCATTTGTCTCAATATGTCTTCCTAGCTTTTAAATCACTCTTGTGGCACATTATGTTAGATTTTCATTAAGGCAAGCAGTTTGTATTTTATGAAGACATAAAAAAGTCAAACAAGAATAATAAGTGTTGGCACAAACAGGTCCTGTTCTTACTCTCAGGTCCTGAAGCCTTTATTATGAGTAAGGGCTGTGGCCACACGTAACCTTCCTTTCCTACCATATAGTACATATTTGCTGCTTAACTTGTCCAGAACTAGGCTTTTTATGTGTCTCCATGGCCAAAAATTTAATTTTAGCTTCTGTAAATTTGTTTGGCATCTGTTCCAAAAGCCACATTCATGAATTCTTCATGTTTTGTTATACAGAGGTATATTTATGTGTTTCTTTAATGTGCAATAATACCAGTTTTCTTTTTCAGTTAGGAAAGTATCTTGATCTACAGTGTAAAATTGTAAACTTTAAATTATATACTTTTGTAATCTCAAATTCTATGCCAAAAAGTAGAGACCAGAACCCTTACCTTCTAAGTCTGGACCAACTGTGGATTGAATGCCTGCCTATAGGAGACCAAAACCAAAATCCAACCTTGGACTTTAACAGTTAGTAATCATTGAGTCATTTTCTTAAGGAAAAAAAAAAAAGTAAGTAGTATTCCTTCAGAAGCACTATTTGAAGTGAAATGTCAGCTTGTTTAAATATTTTAGTTTACCCTGCCCATGAAGAATTATTTGTTTTAAACAAAATATGCCCGGGAAGGACACTTATTTAGCTTCACTTTTACTGCCTACTATTTAGAGGTTAATGTCCTTCTTGAGAGAGCTGTAGAACTGTCACTTCAGAAAAATTAATGGACCAGAAATCTGGAATTCTGTCCCTCCCAACACAATGTCAGGCTTCTGCTCTCATTGCTAAAGCGTAGAATTCAGAGCTCACCTTCCGCAAGGTGCTTCCCACCAACTGCATTTCAGAGTTAGGAAACTGCACAAAGTTTTTGATCATTCAGGCTTCAGAGGGTCTCTGCTTAAGGTTAAGAAGGTGCTTGAGGATGAGGAGACTGCTGAAAATGACTGAAAGAGCTCTGAAAGAGATTAGAAACAAAGGAGAGGCTTTCTTCCTCAATGGCAGCCTCTTAGCTGGACGGGCAGCTTCTGAAAAGAAAGGCAGGCCAGACCTACTCTGTGGCCAGGTGCCAGTCTGTTCTCCCTGCCTCCCAGCTCCCTGGGGGTCTGTTCGGCATTACAGATTAGGCAGCACAAAGCCCAGCGATGGCAGAGTTTGTGGATCGATAAGATGAAACTTGAGCCATGGGTCAGAGAGGCTTCTCACAGCCCCTGTTTCTAAGAGAAGCTCACGTTTATGGCTTAGCATGAGATCCTTCAATCTTGCTTGTATGTAGAGCATCTTGTGTTTATCATTAAAATTTTATCTGGCGGTTACGATGCTTGTTTTCTGGGTCAGATCTTGAATCCCTTTTCATTTGAGACAGCGGTGTTTGTGGTTACCTCATTCCCAATCAATGCTGTATTCACCAGGCTTTCTACAGTTATGCCTCTCCAAGGAGCTTCTTAAAGAGACAGCGCCACCTCACCTTGCTTTCTCTTGTAGTTGTTTTCCTTCTTCTGTTTTCTTTCTTTTATACAAGTGGAACTTGTTCAGAGGTTTCTTTTTTTGTAGATGTGAGCTATTTTGCATTTAAGCCTGTTACATATATTTCATATAATTGGTAGAAAGTAGACTGGCATAATCTCTTCTTTCTTCCCACCTGTTTAGTTCTCTTTAAATACTCTGGTTTGGAGTTGGGTTACATAGGCCTACACTGCTTTTCCTGTACTTAGATTCTCTATTGGCCCTGTCTTCTTTAATCTTCACACAGAACCAGAGGAATTTGGAAGAGGTGTTCATTCACTCATGAACTCACTGGCTGATGCTGAAGCACCTGTCCTGTGGACATGACCGGTCCGCTTCACCTGAGCTGGTCTGTCCACCATGTGCAGACAGTGTCCTTCAAGCTTCTGATCTTCCTCTTTGTCCACGAGTCTTTGCTTCCCTTCCTGTCCTATGAATAATTTCCAGTTATCCTTTGTGTTAGAATTCTTTGAAATCTACTTCCAACCTACCTTTCTCCTCATTGCTCTGTTTTTGGGGTGGGGGTACCGGGGCTCAAACTTGGGCCCTTGCGCTTATGAGGCAGGTGGCGGAACCACTGGGCCAAATCCAAATCTCTGGCTCTTTTCCTCATTACTCTTTAAGTGCATCTTGAATTTGTCTCAGACTGTTCTTTTCAGCCATCTCTGACCACATGCCATCTCTGACCACATCTTTTTTTTTTAATTGATAAAATTCACCTACCCTAAAACTCATACTTTTTTTGTTTTGGTACTGGGGATGGAACTCAGGACCCAACGCTTGCCAGGCAGGTGCTCTGCCACTGAGCTACATCCCTGGTCCAAAACTCACACTTCTAAAGTGTACAATTCAGTGACTTCAGTAAATTCACAAGGTTTTACAACTGATGCCATTCTTGAATTCCAGAATATTGTCACCGCCACCACCCCAAAAGTGAAACCCAGCCACCATTCTGTAAGAACCAGCACAGGCCTCTCTCCTAGAGGTTTCTGTGTTGCTCTCAGATCTAACGGCCCCGCCCCTACTCATCTCATAACATTCAGAGAAGTAATTAACTGTAGCACATGGAGCAGCTAATAGTGTGGCCTTATCTCCTCTAGACATTTTTATTTCATGTCATTATTTTACTTTGAAATAACTTTTAAGTCTACAGCCATGAGCTTTTTTCCAGTATTTTGTGAGCTTATTTTAAAACTGGGGGTGACATGCAATATCCCATTAAATTTCTTATTGCTTTTATACTGGTTTGAATGAAGTGCTAGTATTTAATCCATAGACACCCCTTCTCCTGCCACCTCCATAGACCACTACTAAAGAAATGTATTTTCTTTTGTGTGTTCTCTAATTTATTAGTTGTTGCAACTTAAAAATCATACAGTTTTATTTATTTTTATTTATTTTTTTGTACCGGAGATCGAACTCAGGACCTTGCACTTGCAAGGCAGGTGGCAGAACCACTGAGCTAAATCCCAGCCCCAAATGATTCAGTTTTCAACCTGGAAGGGACTGTAGAGATGATCTAGTTCCAGAACACCCGCCTAGTGTGAGGTGGTGGAGCTCTGTGCCGGGATGGGGCCACCCCTGTGCTTCTGTGACGCACGTGCAGCCCTCTTCTGTCCACATGAAGCCTTGCCATTACAATGTCATTCTGTTTTTTTCTTTTGACATGCATCCTTCTTTTCTTTTTTGGAGAGAAAAGTAGTAAGACCATGTTATTTTTGCAAAAATGTTAGAAAGTGGAGAAGAGAAAGCCCCCTAAATCCCACCTTGTAACGTAGCTTATACTGTTACTATTTGGGAGTGTGTGTGATTTGGTTTTCAGTCTTTTTTTTTATACAGATCTTTTTACATGATATAATCATAATGTTCTTTATATTTTGGGGGGCTTTTATTCTTAGTAAACTGACAGGTTTTTAAAAATTTTCATGTTACTTTTCATTACTTTCTTTGCAAAATTCCATGAATAATTGTCTGCAAATTTTCCCACTCATTTCTCCACTAGTGGATGTTCCAGTAATTTCCTATGTTTTATTATACAGTTACACACTGTTTAATAATGGGGAAATGTTCTGAGAACTGTGTCAGTGGTTGACATCATAGAATGAACATCCACAAACTAAGGCAGCCCAGCTCTGACACTGCTGGGCCACATGATACAGGAAGGACCCCGTCACCTGTGTGGTCTGTTGATTAGAATGTTGTTATGTGGCACATGCCTGTGTAGTGAGAAGAATGCTTTGTTTTGCAAATTTTTGTTTTTAGTACTACAAATATTTTTTGTTTAAAAATTACGAGTTGGAGATTAAATTCATTGGTATCATGCCTACCTCACAAGCACAAGGTCCTGTGTTTGATCCCCAGTACTGCAAAATAGACAGACAAACAAATAAATACATTCATTGTAGAAACTTTGAATTTCATGTAAGTATATAGGATTAAAGAGTTAGTTTTTCCATTGTCCTTGCATTTCTGATTCTTTTTCTGAGCTAAAGTCCAATAAGTGGCGTTACTAGATGTAGAGGAATGAGTCTATGATTTTTCAGATTAAGAATTTATTTTAAAATGCTTTGATAACTTTTCAGCTTCTTTCCAATTTGACTTTTTGATTTGAAGTCCCCAAGCCTTCCCTCAAGCCTGCTTCTGAATATACTCTTCCCTTCCTGTTACTGCCAGAAATAACAAGTTACCCTGAGTGGTCACTGGTGACCTTCTGGTTCATGAACCAGTAGCCTTTTGCTTTGAGCCTCTTTATCATGTTTGATGCTACTGACAGCACCCCTCGGGATGTGGTGGGGATCATAGGTTAAGCATCTTTGTGCCTCACAGCTTGACCTCAGACCCAGCACCCAGGAACCATGGAGAAGTGTGATGGGATAAAGACCTCTTTCTCTGTGAGCCTCTATTCTGAGCAGACTCCGCCCTACCCATGCTGCTTCTCTGGCCTTTCTTTTGCCTTTCTGTGATCTCCCTTGGGTGTGTGGGAGGGACATGAAGCATCCCAGAAAAATGAACCAGGAGAAGTTCCTTCTAACTGTGCGATTCACACATAACGCTGACTTTGGTCTTCCAGCTTTGATTTCTCCTTGCTTTAAGTTGGAAAAAATTTGTGTTCAGGAGTCCACCAATCTCCAAAGAATAAGCTACCAGACTTTGCCTGAAGGCTGTGTCTGT